AGTCTGAGGAAGAGGCTTGTGCACTAGGGTTTGTCATGAGACCTGAAGCAAGTGTCTGAGCGGCTTGCCACCGTAGAATCCGTAGAAGTGCTTTGGGGCTCTGACAGTTTTTTCGTGCTTCCTTCATTGCCCACCGACAGTCGCCAATAATCCTCATGTCCGACACGGAGGACGTGCCTGACATTGACGAGGAGCTTGGGCCGGTCGACAGTGGCGGCGAGCCTTCGGCTGATGAGTCCCAGGTTGGTGCGGCAAAGGCAAAGAAGGGTCAAAAGGCAAAGGCCAAGGGCGACGGCGACGGCAAGAAGGGCAAAGTGCAGATCGTGAACAAGTTCGGGAAGACTAGGAGCAGGACAAAGGGCGGGAAAAAATTCTGTCCTGCTTGCAACAAATGGCTGCCTGCAGAGAACTTTCCACCCGGCAGTGGCCAGTGCGGGGAGGACAGAAAGGCGATGCAGAATTTGAAGAATGCCGCGATTTCTCAGAACCAGCTTGAGTGGTGGAACGAAGTTTGCCAAGACTCCGAGAAGCTCAAGAGGGTCATCAAGTCGTATCGGGAGTCGGCGCCGCCGCCCGGGAAGCGTCGCAAGACACCTTTCAGCATCCTCCAATACAAGGAGGAGCGGCGACAGGAATCGAGCACGCTGCTCGATGGGGTGGCCGAGATGATGTCTGAGTTGGCCTACATCTCTTGGATGGCAAAGCCGAAGAACGGATGTGTGGATGCCCTCGAAGCATCCAAACGCTGGAAGGATTTGTACAATGCACCAGGTGCCATCACGGACAGCAAAGGCCCGACCGAGAAGTACAAGCTTCGCGTCGCCGTGCACAAGGCGGACCTCGTCACACAGAGAGATGCCAACATTCACTCGCAAGGGTATGTTGCCGCAGAGAAGGAGATCCGTAAAGGTGGCCAGGAGGACATCGACCGCATGGAAGCCCGCCTTGCGAAGGAGACCATGTTCCAGGCCACCAGCTCGAGATCGCGGTCTGATCAAGCTCTTTCGATGGCAAAAGCATCCTTGGCGTCTGGAGGCACTGGTGCTTGGAGCGACTCCGGCAAGAGTGCAGCCATGATCGGCGACGTGAGGGAGCTTCTCAGCGAGTCTGAGAACGAGGGCGCGCAGGCCTCCATTGTTGTTGGGTCCGCAGGGTCGGTTCTCAATGTTTGTGCCTGGAATCACAGCCGCGTGCGAAATCTGCTTTTAGGGAATAAACCTTAAAATGAAGCAGGCCACTTCCCGCGAAAATGACACCAAATCGTGCAAAAATCTCTGGCTACCCAACCCTGTGTAAAAATTAGATTTTACAAGGACTTGGGTCTGCAAGGTGCCCAAATACGAGAAAAACCCACAAAAACAACATACAGGCCCTCAAAACCGACCTTGGCGAACCCGTATAGGCACAACCAGTAGAGTAGAGGGCACGGTCAGGCCAGGGCACAACTTGGTTATGGTTTTCAGCCTTTCCACCCCGTAACCATCAAACCAAACTGCCAAGGAGGCCTTTTGAGTCGGCGGCGTCAGCAACCAATCAAGACAATCAAAGAGGTTTGAGAAAGGGGCAAAAACACACACTCACAAACATGATGCGCCCCCCCCCTTGCACTTTGCAAGGCACACACCCACCCAGCAATGCACCGACTCAGAAAACATCTCCCTTCGGGAGAGTTTGTTCGAAAACTGGATGTGTAACTTTCGTGTTTGTTACACACAGCACATGACATAAGGCCCTATTCCATCATGATGGAGGGTTGTCTTGATACTTTTGAGCCCGATGTGCGATTCTGGCTGCGGTTGTTGCAAGTGTGGGTTTTCCTGAAAAAACCATAGATTGCAACAGCGGGTGTCATCCTTGTTCTGTCATGAAAAGTGCTGGCGCAGGACGATGACGAGATGAGCGAGGCGGAGGAGGGGGCCAACCGTTCTCAGAACAAGCGTCGATGCAGCTTCGGGTCCGATGTGGAGAAGCCCAGTAACTCCACCCCGAATGAGAAGAAGCCGAAGAAAGCGTGGTTCGACCGCGATGCCTCCATCACTTCGGCCCTCAAACAGCACCAAACATGGGTCAAGGCTACTCGTGCATCGATAACCTCCACAATCCAGCAGCTACAGGACAGCTTGGGTAAGGTCACTGCCGACGTCGAAGACGAGGTGAGAAATGAGGCGAAGTTGGCCAAAAACAGGCTGCACGCCCTCAAGTTAATCTTGGGGAAGCCGGAGGATGGGGAGCAGCCCGGTGGCCAGTTTTCCGATGTTGTGGTCAGTGCAGATGGCGACTCCAAGCCCGACAAGGAGAGCCAGAAAGAAGCCGGGACCACTGACCAGGCGAGCCAGAAAGAGGCCGCTGACCAGGCCCAGCCCAATGCGGATCAAGCCAAGGAGGCGGAGAAGACCAGCGACGCCAAGGAGGAAGCCACCAAGGAGACCAGCGAGGAAGCCAAGCCTGACCCCGACGTGAAGGCTCCCAGCACTGTCGCCAAGTTCGTTGCAGATAATGGTGGTGCGCAGAAGGCTTTGCGGAAGTACATTGCTTCCTTCTCCACGGACGGCAAGAAGACTTTGGGTGGAGCACCGCCTTGCCGCAGCTACCAAGCCTTGATCGTGATTTCGGAGTTTGACGACAAAGCCACTGAGATCGAGGAGGCAGAGACGAAGGAAGCCCTTGTCGCCATCCAGAATGGGATGAAAATCTTCAAGAATGCCTACGCTGACCTTTTGGCCATGGCGCGGGCAGCAAAGAACAGGCTCGAGTCGTCCATCACCGACGTCAAGAGGCAGCAGCAGAGGGCTAAGGACATCGAGAATGGCCAGAAGGCGGCAGCAACCCGCGGACGCCCCAGGAAGTCCGCTCAGCAGCAGAATGCTGCTTTGTTTGTGGATAGCCCGGAAGTTGTCGGCAAGGACATCCCAAGCGTGCAAGCAGATGGCTATGTACCGCCAGCGATGGACCGTGCGAAGCCGCACATTGTCCGCTGGAGCCAGGAAGTGATGAACAAGTTGGCTCCGTTGAAGCACACGTTGGCCAGCCTGGAGACCAAGTTCAAGGGTGATACGAACAAGCTCGAGGCTGGTAGAAGCCAGCGTCTTTTGCCGCCAGACCAGCGTGAGCTCGTCGACGAGGTGTTGGAGACCTTGTTCCCCCCCAATCACATCCTCCCGAAAGACAAGATCGTCGAGAAGCTGAAGGCAGAGGTGCTGATGCCCATTGGTTTCGTAATCGCGAAAGCCTGTGTCACTGCGTCTGCAGAGAGTGCTCACCTCCCTACCTGCAGACTGGGGATTTCCGGCAACCGTCAAGTCGTTTGTATCCCGACCCTGCACTTGCTTGCGTTGCTGAACAAGGGCTGTGAGACCAAGGCCGATCTTGCAAGGGCATATCACTTCTTGAAAACCGCTTCCCTGAAGACTTTCCAAGAAGGGCAGCAGGGCGATGACAGCTGTGTCTACCATGCGACGGTGGGCCCAGGCGACCTTCTCTACCTCCCGGCCGGTTGGTGCTTCTTTGAACGAGTTGCCGGCAAGAGCAACTACTTGGGGGTGAAGATCCAGCACTTGAGCTTGCAATCCTTGCCCGTTCTCCGCAACATCAACTCCTACTTGTTGGCGATCTCGAAGCCGAATTCCAACCTTCAGAGTGCCGTGGATTGTCTCACAAGGGCGGAGACCTAGCCGTGATAAGTGCTTCAGAAACTTTTTCGAGCAGCGGTTCAGTGCCAGCTGCGCCACATGTCGAGTCAAGGTTGCATGCAATGCCACGGCATCCTTTCTTCTACAAGAAGGGCGTCTAATCTCGGGAGCATTGCGATGACGAGCGAAAACATAAGAGTGAAGTGGCCGCTGCCACCACTGCGACCGCTGCGGTTCTAGCAAATGGGATGATGCGACGATGCAGAAGGTGACGAGGGTTCTGCTGCTACTGCTGCTGCCACTGCTACTGATGCTGATGCTGCTGGTGAAGGTGATGTTTATGATAGCGGGGTGTGGTGCTGACTGTGATAGAAGGGGTGCTCGTTGCGGTGCCGTGGTGATGTTGGGTGGTGATGATGAACGTGCGGTGGGGATGATGGCTGGTGGTGCCGCGNNTGAGGGACGTGATGTGGCGCGCGGCTAAGCCCAGAACCGCATTAGATTGCCAGGTTGCTGGGTTTGGTTCGGTGTAAAACGGTTTTGGGACTAAGTGGGTCAAGCCTCAAAGCCAAGCCAAGCGACTCTCTGGTTATTGTGGTTGTGATTGTGGTTTCTAGGTACGAGTAGGCCCTGAGTAGGCTCAAGTTCGGCTCAATCCGGCTCAAGTCGGCTCAAGCCGCCCGCCACCCACTCACCCACCGATCCACCCATCCACCCACTCCCACCCGCCCGCCAGTCCCCCACCCACCCACACCCACC